ATGTCTACATCTGAATATTGACTTATTTGAGTGTCACCAAAGTGCCTGAAATGGCTTAGGCTTGACAGTATGCTTTAGCAGTTGGACAAGCCAGATCTAGTCACGCATTCCAGACACAGCTGCCCCAGCAACAATTTTAAGGCTTAATTAAGTTGCACTCCCTATCACATTTTTTTAAAAAAAACTAATATTGCTAACTAATTCATTTACTAAATACAACTAATTCCTTTAACAAAACTACAGGATAGGCACACAGAAAATTAGACAAAGGTTTCTCCTGAATCAAAAGTACCATCAGAGCACCCTAGCCCTGAAATGGTTCAGCCCCACCCCCAATACACACACACAGACACACACACACACACACACACACATACACACACACACACACACTCTTCCTGTTATACTTTGTGTTATGGTCTGAACTAGCAGTGGCACACAGTAGGTATGCAATAAGCATGTGCTAGCTGATGACCTACAATTTATTTCATGCTTTGCCTTAAGACATCCCTTCACAGCCTGACCCTTCTCTTCTCCTTGAGGTTGACACTGACTTTAGTGACACATACACCTCCTAATGTTCCACCCGCATCCTCAACACGCTCAGGATGTAGAAGTGCTTTCTAGCTAGCTTCCTTGCCTCTGTTTGTTCCTCACTTCCTGTGTCTCCCTTCCAATCTGTGTTTCCTGCTTTCCTACCAAACTACAAGAGCCTCTCTGATTTGCAACTCTGAGGGTCCTCTCTAGACAGAGTCCCTGCAATCCTGTATAAGGTAGGAATCCAAAACCAGCCCTTTCGATTAGCCTGCTGAAGACCCAAGTAACTAACCATCCAACCCTCCTACCTTCTCCATCGACTCAGGACTCCCCTCAATGGCCATCTTCTCTTAACACCATCCTCTGCACCAGGCTAGCCTCACTCCCTGGTAAGGGACCCTGTGCAGGTACAGCCAGTAATATAGGAAGAGCTCCAGATAGTATAGTGTCCTGGAAGCAAGGAACTCGGGGTTGCAGAAGAATGGTCCACATCCCCTGGCCTTTCTCTTCCCTGTTCCTTTAACAACCGCTTCCTTCTACCTGGATTCCCATCTTCTTCAGGGCTCAGCTTTGTCCAGAGTTCTTGCCTTTCCTTTAGCATTTCTATCACACACTAACAAACACACGGATACTGTGCTTATGTGACAGTCCTTAGGAATTTTTGTTTTGTTCCTGTGTTGGCTTGCCTTGATCATGCTAGGGATAGAATCTAGGGTCCCCTACTCTACCACAAAGCTATACTCCAGTCCCTAACGAATGACAAATGTCTACTAAATTCTCTCTTATAATCACCTTTATAAACAGACTCTCAGCATAAATAGGTTTTCTCATTAACATTTTTCTGATGGGGATGCCCTGGAGTGGAAAGTGGTTTGTCAAAGGCCACTCACTTCGTATGTGTCACAGTGAGGGCTTCAGTTTTATAACTCAAAGTCCAAATGGACTTCCTTTCATGCCGTTTCCTCTCTTCTATTCCCTCAGATCCTCTCCCTTCATTACAGCCAACACTCTTGAAGCCACGGCCTAAATTCCTTGAGCCTACTTTTTGCACCATTCCTGACTTTCTCCAGCCTCAGGAATCTGTCTCTCCACTGGGATCCCTTGGGTCAAGGCCACTCATGGCTTCCATATTGCCCAGCCCAATGGTAGTTCCTAGAAATGAAAATTAAACACAGTAGGGGACACGCCTCTGCAACCTTGAGTCCCTTGCTTCCAGGACACTATACTGTCTGGAGCTCTTCCTACATCACCGGCTTTAACTGCTCAGGGCCCCTCACCAACTCTTTGACTTTATCTAACTTCAAATCTTGAGTATTTTCCCAGGGCTCTCTCCTCAGTGTTCTCTTCTAGCTAACAGGATTTCTTCTGCTCTATGGCTTTTAATTCCACTCGAGGCTTGACACACCCAACCTTCTAGCATTGCAACAGGACATTGTCATTACAAAGTCCACACTGAACATTACGAAAGAAAGGAGGGAAGGAGGGAGGGAGGGAGGGAAGGAGGGAGGGAAGGAGGGAGGGAGGGAGGGAGGGAAGGAAAGAAGGAGGGAAGGAAGGAAAGAAGGAAGGAAGGAAGGAAGGAAGGAAGGAAGGAAGGAAGGAAGGAAGGAAGGAAGGGCTGGAAAGATAGCTCAACACTTAAAATCAGTCTTTAAGTACTTGAGAGGACCCAAGTTGGGTCCCCAGCAGCACCCACATTAGATGGTTCAGAGCTGCCTGTAATTTCAGTTTCAAGGGACCCAGTACCTTCTACAAGTCTCCAAGAGCACTCACACACATGTGGCATATGTTCACATGCACGTGCACACACTAAAATAAACCTTTTTTTAAAAACCACAAAACAGCTTAGTGTTTTAAGGTTTATAATCTGTTGCTAGCCTGAAGCATGTGCAGCCTGCAGGCCACAGGTCTGACACACCTGAACCCTACATGATCTGGGCTTCAGGTACCATGTCTATGCACATCTACCTCTGGTACTTCATGACCTATTCACCCACTCTGCTGAGACCATTCTGGCCTCCTTGCTAGGCCTTAAATAAGCCAAAGGGTTTAGCGATAATGCCTGTTTTTGACACGATGCCTAGATCCTCCTCCTGGACACTTCTAAATGATTCACTTGTGAATGAGATTCAGTTCTCTATCTACATGTTGCCCCATCCACCACACATGGATGAAAAAGCTTGTACCTGCCTCCATGAACTCGGAACTCTGTCTCCTTCCTCTCTTTTTCTTTAAAGCACTTAGCATCATATATATACATATATATGTGTGTATATATACACACATACATATGAATATATGAATACTTTGCTTATTGTCTTCTTTATTCCAACATAGTAAAGGAAAGCAGATCTCTTAAAGGGAGACGTCCCGTCATAGAGTATCACATCTTCTTACAACTAGTCAATGTGCAGAAATAAGACTGTGAGGTACTCAGCCTTAAATGGGACATCTATACCACATCCCCACCCCCACTCCAAGGCTAAGGTATGTCACAATGGACAATGTATGGATAAGGTATGGACAAGGTATGTCACAATGTAGACAATGGACTGGAAAATGGCATGAACCAGAAGCAGTGGATAAATACAACCGAACACGTGGTCCAAGTACAATACTGCTATTACACATGTGAATTCAGTGGTCCTGACAGGATACACAACCTGTGCAGACTCAAGCCAGACAAAATCTCAGCATGAGTGTTGGGAGTGGTCATAGAGTCCCGCCCCTAGTGAAGGAGCTATTCCCAATTGAGAGTTGCTGGGAGAAGAGGGTCAGTTTTCTTTAAGGGTGTGGCCCTGTAAATGAACCAAGCTCCAGTGCATTGCCCCACAGCCAAGCACAAGCTGGATTTCACTGTTTGTGTTTGTTATTAAAGAGAACACAGAGCACAGTGGGAAGGGAGGTGGGGCGGGTCTGGAAGAAGTTGGGGAAGGGGGATGAATGTGATTAAAATACACTATGGAAAAGTCTCAAAAAACTAATCAAATATTTTAAAACAAGTTCTGATCAATAACAGTAGAGCTCAATAAATACTTGTTAGATACAGTAAGCATACAATTGCATCATATAATTCAATATTAATTGTATTAATGATTAATGGATTGCTATCTTTTGAGCCATATTTTAATGCCTTGCGAGGAGAACAGCATACCTTAAATTTCGATCTGTACGTAGCTGGGATAGTATGTGCAGAATAGTTCAAGAAGCCTGCTGCTACATGGCTGACGTAGACAACGGAGAGAGCTGGGATGTGCATTTATATACGGTCAACACAGAGCAGCTGTGGTGGTGGTTGTTTTAGGTAAAGCTACGTGTAAAGACTTTAATGAAGAAAAAGAATCGAAATAGTCTCCTTCTTGTGAGAAGAGAGTTCTACGATAACAAAAAAAAATCAATGTCTATAAACAGAAACAAAATAAAATAAAACCACAATAATAAAAAAAAAATAAGTAAAAACATGGTAAGCCCAGAGAGCCAAGAAACTGAGCTGAAGTAAACTCAGCAGGAATGTTAAACTAAGAGCTTAGGATGAAGAGAGGATATGAGACTTCAACTCTGGGGGGGTCTGCACAGAGACTGCACAGGACTGAACAGTTACAAAGAGGAGGATAAGAAAGAGACACCAAGAGGAGAGGAAGAAAAGCATGCTGCAAAGCTAAAGGTTTTCCACAGGAGGGAAGGAGAGGGAAAGGGGAGAAGGGAGAGGGAGAGGGGTGAGGGAGAATATCAATAGTTGTTTACTGACTTAATTTCTCCTGGGCAAAAGTGATTAGAAACCCAGGCAGTGACCCTGCTTACCAACTGACACAGACAGGGCACTAAATGAGTACACACTTCCAATGAGTGCACACTTCCAATGTGTGCGCACTTGCAGCCCACACAGCTGATTCTTCTGTAGCCTACCGCTTCTTTCTCATGCTCCTGATTTCCAAAGTGAGATCCTGACTCTACTTAGCTTCATTAAGAAACGTAGATGCTGGGCTCTGGAGGTCGCTCCGTGGAGCCCTCACTGTGCAAGCCTGGGGACATGGGTTAACCTGAGTTCCATTCCAGGACCCAGGTATAATCAACAAACACATAGTAAGTAAATAAACAACAAGAAAATAGCCCAGTGTACCGGCAGTTCTCAAACTGTGGGCTGTGATCCCTTTGGCGACCCTCTAGCTCCAAAAATATTTACATTAAGATTCCTATCAGTAGCAAAATTACAGTAATAAAGTTGCAATAAAAAATAATGTTATGACGGGGGGGGTCAGCACAACATGAGGAACTGTATGAAAGGGTTGAGGCATTAGGAAAGTTGAGAACCACTGTCAATGGACTTTTAATGCCTGCACTGGAGAGATGGAGACAGGGAAATCCCTTGGGCTTGCTACTAGGCTGCCAGCCTTAGGTAGGAGCTGTGACAAACAAGCAAACAAAAATGGCGGACAATACCTGTGGATCACTTGAAGGTTGACTCCTCGCTTGCACAGACATGCTCGGGAACTCGCGCATATACACACCCAGGCACATAGACAATTTCAGATGTCACATTTTCTGTAATACCATTCTTATTGTTAACTTTACACCTCAGAACTCACATCTCTGTTTGGAGTCCGCAAAGTCTGTCAAAGCGCATTCGTGCACTGGTCTCATTAAATGTGAAGACACGCTTCAGAACCCCAAATGTGCAGTGTGGCAGAACTTCATTTTTGAGGGGGAGGGTTGGAGACACGATTTCTCTGTGTAGCTCTGGCTGTCCTGGAACTCACTCTGTAGAGCAGCCTAACCTTGAACTCACTGAGATCGGCCTGCCTTTGTCTCCCAAGGCTGGGATTAAAGGCACACACCACCATCATCCAACCTGTAGAATGTTTCACTTCAGTGGTTGGCTGAGCCTCTGATTTCACCTTCTCAGACCCTCCCAATCTAAGACACCAACGCCCTGCATTGTTTTGTGTGACATACAGGCCCCAGTTTCCGGCTCCAACTTCTTTTCCTCATCTTCACTGAGCCTCTCGTGACATTAAAATCAAGCACTTGGTTGTGGTGGCACACACTGGTAGGACAGGCTGGAAAGGCGGAGGCAGAAGGATCGTGAATTTGAGGTGGTCAGCCCTGGGCTGCACCTCTTCCTCCCTCAGCTTTCTATTTTAAAATAAAACCAACCACTAAAGGCTGGTCCTCTTTTCAAAAGCCCGGAATGGAGAGTAACGACAGTTCAGTTTGCACTTACAGATAGATTTCATAGTATGTTTTTTAAAAAGGCCGAGCCGGATGCTTCTTAGCTGAAACCTTTCCAGGTATCCTTATGAACAATCGCGTCTTAGAGGCTTGAGTCTACATCCTACCACTGCTCATCTTGAGCTCTGGGAATAAGAAAAGTCATTGTCGGACTTTGTATCTTCCCATCCCCTGCCTAGTCCCAGACGCCCCATCTTCTGTGAAGACGGGCAAGGGAGAAGTCCAGCACCCATGGGATTGGTTACGTCAGATCTGAAGTGCAGCCTTTGCTGTTGGCGGGGCTTTTGCCTTATTTGACTAGCTCCAAATAACAACCAAGTCAACGTAACCAGCAAGCTTCCCTACACGGACTCTGCCTTTTTGTTTTATGCTCCATCAGAATGAAAGAGGATAATAACAATAACAGTAAAACTACCAACATTTAACTCCCCACACTGATTTCAATCCTCTTGCCTCTATGTAAGTCCTACACACACACACACACACACACACACACACAAATGCTGAAGCAATCTTAAGTTATTTTGACGACGGCAACTTAGTAATACTTTCTATATTTTCCATTGTATTCAAATCAGCTTCAAATCTCAACGTTTAACTCAAGTCTTAGTTACATTAAACCATTTTTAAAGTATTCCCTAGAGACGTGCAAGGCTGTCCAGGCCCTTAACTCCGCAAACCTTCTTTCTCACTCGAAAGATGAGATGTCGTAGTATTAACGGTGAATTTTGTAAACGACACAATCAAACCGACAGAGCACCTAAGAAGCCCTCCGAAAGACGACACGCACAACTTCTGAGGAAGTTTGAAGATGGGACCCAGGAGTCTCTTGGAGCATGTCCATGGTGCCCGGCATAGCCAACTGGAGTTTTATGGAACATACTGCACATGTGGAAAGCATCCACTAAAACAGAAATGGTGACAGAGGAGAACACACAAGGTAAACAAGGAGCCAACACGACAACGTGAGGCAGGCAAGCGTGACAGGGAACAACCAATGTGGCACACTACAACACTTTGAGGGGAATGAAGCTAGGAGACGTCTTCACACCAATTTTTGAAAAGTAGGTTTTAGAATGGTCATCTTTACAAAACAGACGAGTTCTTGTTTTGAGTTGAGAGAGATCATCAGCAGACAGCTGGCTACTGCCATCCAAAGACAAAGTCAGCTTGGAAGGTGAAGAAAACACATAAAATATGAAGTATATCCAAATATATTCATATATATCAGTGTACACGTAGGAGCAGATACTACAGGAATTATACCTAAATATGACATAACTTATTTATCCTCTATGGTGCTGTGTTTGAAATGACATGTTCAGGCTGAATTTTCTGCAGCTTTTACAAATGTTTTCCTTATGTAGTAATTAATTAAGTGCTATTTGAAATGTAAACAAAGAAACCAGAAACACTTCGAATCACACGTAAGCCTTTTTTACCAGCCTCACAGTTTTATAACTTAAAAAACTGAAACACTTTCCATGGCATCTATCAAAAATAGAGAGTATTACTGCCTCTCAACAGTAGCATAATATTTATATATGAGATCTTAAAAGGGAATAAAAAGCAAATCCTATGTAGTAGGGGAGATTATTTAGTCCTCATGACTAATACTCTTTCCAGTCTCCCCAAGTAGAACACGTGGCTTCGTGGCACCTGCAGGGGTCCCCTGTGCAGCTGATTCCTATGATGCTTTCCTTCCCAGAACCCTTTGCTTTACATCCTAGACCTTCATCCTTCACGCTTCCTGCCAACGACAGATAAAATACTTGGGTCTCTGAATTAGTTTAGACTCCAGTTCTGACCTCTGATACATAGTTTTTGCCCCAGAACTACCCCAGGAAATGCAAGCTGTAGAACAGATACTGGCCAGATGTAAGAAAGGCATGGTAACTTTCCTTCCATGAAGAACAACACTACCAAGTGGTGCTTCAGTTTCCTCCTTTGTAAAAGGGACATGAAGACTCCAGTGGAGGAGGAGTCAGTACACATTACATTGCATCCTCTCCACACCACAGAAATGTCCTTCACATTAGATTAGAGTTTGTTTGTTTATTTGTTTGTTTTGCTCTGTTCAGCTGTAGAACCTGTGATGGCTAATTTTGATTGTTAACCTACCTGGATTTTGAAAAATGCCTAGGACATTAGTGAGGAATGCCGCTCATCTCTGGGTATATTTCTAAGGAGGTTTCCCGGGAGGATTAACAGGATAAAGACATGTCCTGAATCTGGGTACCACCATCATACCATCACCTGGAGTCCCAGACTGAATAAAAAGGGACGAGGAAGATGGCTCACTGAGGAACAACACTGTCCTGTTTCTGCAATGATCTGATAGGATGTGAACAAACAGCCTCCAAGACCCTCATAGCTTCCGGTCGTGATGAACTGACCAGCCTTGAGCCAGAATAAAGTCTTCCTCTCATAAGTGGGCATAGCAGCGAAAAATAACTAGTTCAGGAACAAAATTCAAATTCAAATGTGTTCAGGGACCCTTGATACCAAGTAGAGCAGTGTTCCCCTGCCCTGGCTAGAAAGGAAGTATGGTGTCTCAAGGACAGAAGAAAGCTGAGAAGGTACGCAAAGAGATGACTCGGTAAATCGGGGTCCTCAAGGATAGAACGGGTGTTCTGGAGACGGGACAAGAAGGTATACTCAGCGTGACCGTGGCTGGAACGGATGGCTGGTGTGATTGGCAGTATTGTAGGGCTTATAACGTATGAGCTTATAGAAGTTATTGGAAATGAAATCAGAGGATGGGAGAGATGCACATTTTCTCTACAGGTTAAGCCCCCTATGGCCAGATGTACTCAAGCTTAAGAGTGAGCCCTCCTCTCGGCTTCATCCCCATTCCGTTGGCAACCTTTCCAGTAGGTTCTCAGAGATATTTCATCAGCACTGGCACTAAAAGGCCCAAAACAAGAGCAATCCAAGGGTGAATGTGTAAAAAATAAATCAGTTCTTTTCTTCCCGGCCACTTAGTTCCCAACAGCAATGCTTCCGAGATCAATTATATATTATTAAATGCCTAGGCCATTGCTTTGGCTTATTTTCTCATTAACTCATAACTTCTTTAAACATTCAACCTAGTCTATGTCTTCCACATGGTTAGTTACCTCTCCTTCAGTCCTGACCTGCTTCTTCCTTCGAGTCTCCCTGAGCATACCTCGCAGCGTCTCTCCCAGCGTCTTCCGGGACTCTCTCCTTTCAGTCGCTCAATATTTCCCAGAATCCTCTCTTTTCCTGCCAGTGTCCCACCTCCTATTTCCTGCTTCAGTTCATTGGCTATCTGCTTTTTAATTGACAGGTGTTGCTTCTAAGCAATTCTCTCTGCATGAATGCTTGCCCAATTAATATACACGTAAAGGAAAAGGACATTTTATTAAAGCAGCTATCCTTTCTTAAGATCGACTCATTTTCATTGCCAACATCACTGAGAATAAAAACCTAATGTAATTCTCAACAGTCACTGGAATATAGTTCCGGTCACCAACAAAAAAATAAAATGAAAGATGAAAAGGGGGTTTCAATGATTAGCTTTGGGTATTCCTTGGCAAGTAGTGGAAAAGGTTTAGGAACACAATCCTAATACATAAAATAATAAGCTTTCCAGCAGCCGCGCTAAAACATTCTATGATGACATTCTCCTGATATGAAAACCATCAAAATCAACCCCAAGAACTGGCCAGGGGTGGCATAAGGATAAAATTAGGCTACCCTTCACCTGCGGGATCTTGGCACACTTCTGTAACCCCAGCCCTGGGGAGGTTGAATCGGGCAGAGTTTTGAGAGACCAAGGCTGCCTTGACACAGTGAATGCCAGGCCAGGCTGCCTAAAAGCAAGACCGTATTATGTATTAACAATGAATTGTCTAATACATTTTTCTATTTCTTTTTGGAGGAATTGGTCCCAGTTTAAAAGGAACAAAAGGCAGCATGTATAAATTAGCCAGGAGTTCTGGCTACTACTCCCAATATAGAGAGTTCTTCCTTCCCTGTAAAGCTTTTATTTACAGCCATAAATGACTCACTGCATTCTTAAAATGCAGCGAAAGTGGTCATAACCAAAGCCATCTACCTAGACCATCACATTTCCTTCCTCTGGTCAGTTCGTGCCACAAATCTCATGGGACAAAGGATACATTTCATCTTTCAATGTCAGATTTTTTTCCCCCAGTTCAGATGCTATTTTTCAACAAAGTGGAATGAGGTGGTAGGTTCATAACCCATCATGGTTTCTCCAGAGCTGTGACTGAAAGTCAACTGACCCTCAGCAAAAAAAAAAAAAAAAAAAAAAAAAAAAAAAAAAAGCGTGTATGAGTGTGTGTGTGTGTGTGTGTGTGTCTGTTCATCTTGCAAAGTGTCTCTCGTTCACTTCCGTTCAATGTTTCCCCTGGGCTACTAAGGGACAAATTAAGAATAATTAAAGTTTCTGTACCTCCTAGCCACCCTTAGCCCCCTTCTAGATAGCCAGGGACAAGGCATCCCTCCTTCCCGAGTTATTCAAGTTCTACCAGGGAAATGCTGCACCAGTTAAAAAAAAAAAAAAAAAAAGCCTAGCGGAGTATAGAAGGATGAGTATCATACAGAATAGAGACAAAAAGGAGCTCATAAAGCATGAGATGGGTGAGGCTGGAGGAAGACGGCTCAGACCTTACAGCGCTTGTGGCTCAAGCAAGAGCAGCAGAGCTCCATGCCCAGCGTCTGTGAGAATAGCTGGGTTTGGTGGTTACTCTAGTAACCCCGTGCTGGGGAGGAGGAGACAGGCAGAACCATGGAGCTTGAGGAGCAACCAATCAGTGCACTCCACTATCGGTGAGAGAGCCTGTCTCAGGAGAATAAGGTGGATGGATGGTTCCTAAGGAACGAGACCCCATGTTTGACCTCTGACCTCCACATCCACTTGCACACACATTAACCCTCCCACACATGAACCTGCACACACACATACATATACATACACACACACACAAATACACAAACATACACATACACACTTATACACAAATATACACACACATATACACATACACATACATACACACAAATACACAAACATACACACACATACACACTTATACACAAACATACACACACATATACACACAAGAAGCAGGCATTTATTCTGCCCCTTGGACCAACTACATTTTTTCCTATTTATTAGAGTTCTAAAACTCTGGCCTTAAAGACTGTCCTGTAAATCCAGTCTGTGCCACCGGTGTGTAATTAGCTAAGGGGACTTCAGGGAACCCCTCAAGAATGAACACGCAGGATCATCATTGGCTGTCTAAATTGTCCACCTTTGATGCCTTGGCTCTGCAGACCTTCACTGAAGCCTTTGTCCTTCTCAGCTGAGATGTGGACATTCTCCAGGTCACACGACCAACCTTCTGCAGGACCCTGACCTGGAAAGCTCTTCCTCAGACCTCTGCTGCAGCCCCACTTAAACCAAAGGAGCTGGCTCACAATCTTTCTCTCGAAAAGAAATCCTCAGGGAAGAAAAGAACTGCTAAGGGCAGGGGAGACTCCTGTGGGTGCAGGTGCAGTGTGGACCCCTTGGGGCACTTCAGATTAACCAGTACACAGTCAACTGCATTGTTGACTCCTCAGAAAAACAGTCAAATACAGTTCATGATGTTTCAAAGGAGTTGCAGAAAATAGGGAACCCTAGGCCCACCACTGCCCTCCATGTGTATAACAATAAAGGAGGAAAGACAAGAGTTATTTTTAATAAAGATTAACAATATTTGTAACCCCTAGCTAGACCCCCTCCCTTTCTCATCTTCTGGCTTTCTTTCCAACTGTCACTATGCTGGCCTCAAGGCAAAGAGAGGGGCCTTAATCCATTTCGGGTTGGCCCAGCAGCGGCAAACTTAAGAATGCTTGGAGATGGGGTTCTTGAAAATAAGTCACTTGGGAGGGACAGGGGACACCCAAATGTAGAAACCACTCAAAGAACTAAATAAAGACCTTAAGTACCAAAGCCATCAAGAAAAGTTTACAGACAAGGAAGCAAGTCAGGCATAAAAGGGAAGTGGGTTGTGACTTCTGACCCTGTATTGACTGTGGGTGGCTCTGTCATGGTGACCCATGCATTGGCTTCAGGGTCTAAATGTGCCCAACGGTCTCAGAAACCCAAGTTATTTTAGAAAGAGAGAAAAAGAGGTTTTTTGGAGTCTTTTTCCCTTCCCCTCGCCTAGTGTCACACTCACTCAGCCTTCCTGCTCTGTGTCACCTGCTTCAAAGCCTGTTTTGTCATCTCATCATTTTTTCCCCTTCAGAGAAAACTGGACCCACTTAGTTCAAAGCAAAGAACTCATCTGCAAGCTACACGGCTGTGTGCTTTGTTTTTCAGCATCTCATCTGCAAGCCTTCCACTGCTTAAAGGAAACCATCTGCAGATATGCTAATGTGCTATGACAGGAGGTTTGGGAAGGTGTGCCCCATGCAGAAGGGAGGATTGAACAATAAAGCACGAGACTGAGGAGAGGGCTCAGCGGATAAGCACTTATCACACAACAGCAAAGACCTGAGTTCAAATCCCGAGATCCCGTGTAAAAGCAGGGCACCGTGGTGTGTGCCTGTAATCTTGGTGCTTTATAGAAAATGGGATGCAGAGATAGGAGAATGGCCAGAAGCCCATGAGGCAGCTAGCCTAGTGTTGGCAGCACAAACAAGAAAGGTTTTATCTTAAACAAGAAGGTAAGGACCAGTGTCTGAGGTTGTCCTCTAAGTTCCACACATGGCCTATAACTCACTTGCACGCGGCACACACACACACACACACACACACACACACAGAGGGAGCAGGGGGGCTGTTATAGTACAAACTGAGACATGTGACACATGACTGGTTCTCTGAGAAAACAACAAATATCTCAGCAAACAGTGCTCTCCGCTGCCTGCAATCTCTAGCCTTAAGTTAAAGAACGGTGTGGTCAGCCAGCCTTTCTTTCACAGCTCAGCCCTGTCAAATGGCTTCACACCATTGTCATCCATAAAAGTTTCTGGTTTGGGGAAACAAATCTGGCCTACTTCCTCTTCCCTATCCTCCCATGTGACCATGGATTCCTTGAGGGTGATTTTTTTTTTTAGATCATATCATTCAAGATCCAGGTTAAACGAAGTTTGGTGTGGCCTAGAAACTCTTTTCATTTCTCTCAATAAGAGAAAAATGAACCAACTTCATAAAACACTACCTTTGGCCCCTGGAACACACAGATCAAATAAACCCAAATGTTTCTGCCAAGAGACCATTCTCACCCGGAGTCCTAAAGTCCTCACAATGGATCTTCTCCGGTTATTAATAGTGATTTTTTTTTCTTTTGGATCACATGGCAGATCTGGTCCTCTTTTGGGTCATATTTTTCTCAATTAAAGATTCTAATGGCCACTGAAGCAAGACAAATTACCCTCATCTTTTATGTCCACAAACCCCTGTGATTCTGAGCCTCAGAACCGTAATGGGAAACAGAAAGCAGGCCTTTGATTTTTAGAAGCAGAAAGGTGGTGGCGTTGTTGCTGCCTGTCCTAAGCACACAAAAGACTGCTAAGATGCACAGGATCCAAAGGGTCCCCCAGTTCCAACCCTCCATCTCCAGAAACCCATTCTACCCAGAAATTCTCCCCCAGCCAACCTGCTCTCCCTTAAATCTCACCCAAATCCCTCATGCTCCAGTTAAACAACCTGCCCTTCTTTCTCCGACTTCCCCAGAAACAAAACAGCTGGCCACCATACAGAGCTTAATAAGTCTCATAATTTCAAGTCTGTTATTAAGTCAGTTTTTTTTCTGTCTCCTCTTCTTGAAGCTAAATAATCCCAAGTCTTTCAACTTATCCTTATAGGTTCAATTTTACAATCCTTTAATCAACAACAATGGTCTCTGCTGAACATTCTGAGCTATTCCACGTCGCTCACGTGTTCCGAAACCCAGCTCACCTTTGGAATTATTTCTCATCGTCCAGAAAAGCCCAGGATCTTCATGCCTTACATGTGCACAGCCCCAGGAGAATTTGCTCCAACAGGTAATTGATTGCTGTGATGTCTGGTTTATTTTTAGGAGAAGCCCCCTCCCCACGCTGCCTGGGACCCAGTATTCTGACTGAGTGCCAGATGCTGGTGAGCTATCCCCACCCCATGGGCACCCACTCCGTTTCCTCAAGAGAGTTCTTCAAAGCCTTGCTTCCATCCTTTCCATGTTAAGTTGGGTCTTACAATCCTCCACAGTATCCGGTTAATCTGATCTGATCCATTTACTGTTTGTCAGCCAGAAGTGGTGTAAGGCATTATCCTTCACACATGGCATCTACACACACACACACACACACACACACACACACACACACACGCTCCTCAGAACCTTCACTCGGAAAGTAAACTCAAAGACCTCCAAAGAACACCACCAGCGGAGTAAAGACATAGAGAGTCCATGTCTTTTCCTCAACTCGAGCCTGACCAACCACAGGGAGATCACTGAACACACAGCTTCAGAGGGCAGTCTCCCTGCATATTCTTTTTATCAAATGTCCTCCTTCTCAACCTCTAGGCTCCTCTTTCCTATCAAAACCAGATACTCAATTTTGATATGGATCATGCTAAGGCCTCTGCACACAACATATATTTTGACCTGAAGTCTCTTCCCCAGAGTGTCGAGCTGGGTTCTTCTCACCCTGAAGGTTCTATACCCAGTGTCATCCCCTTAGAGAGCCTTCCTTGGCCACTGTAGAATGAGTTCTTCTCTGTCTCCACTGCCCACTGGTTTCTATGACTTATGTAAGTTCGCTCCACAGTCTAGGAACAGATGCGATAGACAAATCTGCCTTTTCCTACATCTACAAATCTTTGCTATAAAAATTAGGCTCCTCAAAGATGAGGATCTTCTTCTACCTCTGAGTGCTGGGGTCATAAGCATGCACCACCACAACCAATTTATGCTGTGCTAGGAGATTGAACCCAAGGCTTTGTGTATGACAGGCAAGCCACTCTATCCACTGAGCCACACCCCCAGACCTCATAATCATTCTTTTCTTCTTTTGACTCTATTCCTGGTAGCTCCCTAGCATGTTAGTGACAGCTCGGAAATAATTTGTCAATGAAGAAATGTTCCCACTTCAATAAATATTTAGATTTTTAAAATGTGCCTCTAACAATCAAATACACACACACACACACACACACACACACACACACACACACACATGCTATCAGCCATAATGTTGTGTTTTTAGTGATAGGAGAGGTTAGAAGAAGAAAGGAGCCTCCTCAAACATCTACCCTCACACCATTCAGTCAAGACCAGTCTTTGCCTGAGGTAGCCATGATCTGGAAACTGTATCAGGCTTATTAACTTAAAGCAAAGGACTTTTGCTTCCAGTAATCATTTTCTTTCAGCTTCAAAGCAGCTGTTCTGCTCTGCAGAATCCCATGTTTGCTGATGCCACTACGTCACTCAAGTATCCACACTACCTTAGAAAGGTACCCGGGGTGCTGCATACCACAGCATCAAAAGTACCACTCAAAACAGACCCTGTTATAGATAATTGCTATTTTCTTTTAGGAATAGGCAGTCCTCAGGTAGCCCAGGCTGGCCTCAAATTCACTGTGTACCAGGAATTAATGTTGAATTCCAATCCTCTTTCCTCTAACCCCAGAGTGCTGGGATTACATTCTTGTATCACCACATGGTTTCTGCAGTGTTGGGGATTGAACCCAGGGCTTCGCGCATACTTGGCAAGCAGTTTGCCAGTAAAATACATCTGCATCTCCAATAATCATTAATTTCTTATTTTTGACTGTTCAGAAATTATTTTATAAATTTATGTACCTAGGTGTTAATGCCTGCACATATGACTGCATACAATTTTCGTGCCTAGTGCCTGAGGAGGCCAGAAGAGGGTCTTGACTCCTTTGGAACTGGATGGTTATGAGCTGCTTCGTGGGTGCTGGGAATCGAACCCATGACCTTTAGAAGAGCAGCTAGTGCTCTTAACCACTGAGCTCCTTCTTCCGATGTTCCTTCTCTAAGGATTCTTGCCACACACGTACTAGCCTACATTTCCTACTTGTGTAATTGTTTGAAGGCTAGTATGTTTCCAAGTGCTAGCTTTATTTCAATTAGTGTTGGTTAACTTTTACAACTTGTTAACTCCACCTCACAAATCGTAAGGCTTTTAGATGCTACATAAATGCTGCTGAGTGAATCCAGGGCACACTAAATACACACAGAGATACATACACATATCATCTCATGCATCTGTGTGTTCCCTTATCCGTCAGACTTCTACTCTGTTTTGAGAGGCTACTGCGCAACCAAGCTTGTTTCTCACAGCACCTACTTCTTGACAGTCATTAGGAAATGCACTGGGCTCAACTAGGGAAGCTTCCCCAGCTTCAATGACAGAGACATCAGAGTGCTTCTCGTGGTGAATAACTGAACAGGAAGAGAGCTGGGATCCTTGCCCAGTGCTGTAAATCATCTGCTGACTTGCAGAGTGACACAGGGAAAATTAGCTTTCAGGTGCTCGTGCCTCAGTTTCCCTTCCTGTAAAATGCCCAGTGCTTCCCTCCCGGGGCTGTGAAGACAATCGATGAGGTAATGTCTCAGCGTTTGGAAGTCTTTGGCAGAAAGGCGCTACATAATTACTATTTGGTATTCACGCTGCCCTTCATGGGTGCCAAGTGCTTTACAATCATTCCTCGGGAGTTACTCCCAGCCACTGGGAACTTGTCTTCATGCCTACTTACATTTAAAGAACGGAGACATAGAACCAGAAAGAAGCTTAGAGGTGTGTGCAGGGTCACTGAGATGGCTCTGAGGTCTTCAAAGGAGGGTCTCGCACATCATCCACTTCCTTTCACCACAAAGCCACACCTTCCCTCTGGACCAGCCCAGACAGGGCAATTCCCTGTTCAGAGACTCGGAAGCCATCTTTGGGGTACAACACATAGCCACTTCAGGTTGGGCCAAAGGGTTAAGACGGTAAAACCAAAACCCAGGTTCTAGGATTAGAAGGCCAGGCTAACTCTTCTTGGTTTATGTACCTCTTTTTCTCCTCATTTACTGTTCAACTGTCTGCATTGGGTACCTTGGCCATTGCCTTTCAGGGACCACAGTTTACTCCTGCTCACTCCCAAGCCCTCAGGAGGCATAGAGAACAGTGCATGCAATCTTAAGTCCCCACCCTCCCAATCAAAAGCTATGCTAGCATATTCACCCAGAGTGGAGCTCAGCTGACCTGTTCCCCACCAGCTGCTTCTTGCTTCCAATGAGAGGTACACCAACCCATACTGCAAGCACTATACCCACCTTGCCCAAAGACAGCTCACCTTAGACCACGGTCTCTTGGTTCGCACATGTGCTTTCTGACCTCCCTTTCGTTTGACCCACTTACATCTAAAAGAAGCATCTTTTGGTTCTGAGGCTAGATTGTCATTAAAATGACCAAAAGCATACGGTGTAAGCATGTGATTATAGTCACTCTGGTGGATCAGTGGGTAGATAACATCTGAGGCTCGGGGTTCAGTGATGGAGCTCTTTTTTTTTTTTTTTTTTTTTTTTTTGGTTTTTCGAGACAAGGTTTCTCTGTATAGCCCTGGCTGGCCTCGAACTCAGAAATCTGCCTGCCTCTGCCTCCCAAGTGCTGGGATTAAAGGCGTGCGCCACCCCCGCCCGGCCTGGAGCTCTTTAACATAAATGGGAATAGAAAATTCCATAGCAACTGGTGGTAGAGCCAGGTAAAAAAAAATCAAGAAGCAAGATTTCAGTTCACACCCTTTCTTCACCTCCTCTTAGGGAATATTCTTTCCCAACTCTTCCTCCCCGACTGACGAACTCTTCGTGGTCCCCAGTTGTAGGCATTTAAAGCCACTTCCCTTTCTCTTTCCATGAGAGTTCATCTGCCCCACATTCTACTCTCTTAAACTCTGCTCCAGCCAGTAAGGACCTGAGAGTCGTAACTCAAAGGATTCCCTAGGAGTGTGGCTCTCAGGTAAATGGAGCCCCCAGCACCTCCATCACTTTGCAGAAGCCAGTGCACCCAACTGCTGACATTCAGGAACAAAACCTGAGCGCGAACTACCCACTGGTTGTCATCAGAGAAAAGACTGAAGGGCCTAGAGCAAGAGAAAGGTATGACAGGCCGGAATGATGCGTAAATATATCAATAAACGTCACCAGTAATGTAAGATCAGTATAAACAGGTTATACCCCTGGGGACTAACCCCAAAAGTCTGAAATAAGGGCAACGTAAAATGTCACTCATTAGGAGAGATGGTAACTGCAGTTTAGAACATATAGACTTTTTTTTTTAAACAAGGACAGATAGCGTGATTAATTTTATTAAGTCGACGATGAATACCTCACTGGTAAAGGTAATCAGTAAAAGGAAAGAAATGCAGGATGCGTTTTCTCCATGGAGGGGAAAGAATGCTATGTGTATTTAGAATGAAACTAGACAAGGACAATTCTATGACAGGAAATCTTTACAAAAAATGGTAAGTCCAAAATATAGAAGCCCTCCCTTAAAAAAAAAAAAAAAACAAACCACTCTTACTTTAAAATTACAGCAACAGCAGCAGCAGCAACAACAACAACAAACAGCAAAATGTACTCTGAAGTGGTGTACAGGTCCTGAACAGTACGTACTGCTCAGTGTGAAAGCCTACCCACAGCCAACTACAGTGCTGAATGTTGGTGTCCCGGGTCTCCAAGGTGAGCAGGGACTCATGACCCGTACACTCTGGCAAGCCCGACTTAATCTTTTCTGGAGACATTATAAGTTAAAGCTTCAATCTTCAGTTTTTAACGGAAAGGCCTTGGTCTACTAGCAAATAGATTTTAAGCGCCAGTGAACAGCAGACTAGTAGAGAAGTTTCTAGAAGCACGGGGTAGCCTTTCATTTGCTACTTGGGCACCACATCGTGAAGAGTCTCTTATTTTAACCATCCTGTATAAAGGTTCTACGAATCCTTAAGAACTAAGTGTTTTTAGGTTCTCTTTGATTCCCAAATCACTTCAAAGTCAAGAACAATTATTTTTCCATAAATTGCCCAGGTTAAGACTTAAACGCGAATTTTAAGTGAAGGGAAAAAGCCGTGCTTCAGTTGACAGCATAAATGTCATCATATAAAAATCCTTCCTAGGAACAATTATGATCACACAAAAGGAAAACAATGACTCTTTCCCCCTTATCATCTGTCAGTATAAATTATTCTACACGAATCGAGTTGCCACTGGGTAAAATACTACATGACCCAAAACGGAAGCAAGGAATCTCTCAGTGATCTATCACAAATTGTCTCTCAGAAAAAAGGAAAAGTGATTTTCATAAACAAATAAGAAACCTCCCCATTAAAAAAAAAATCGATCTTTTTTTTTTCCCTCAGTCCCTAGCGCTATTTTAAGAACTAACCGTTTCTGACCTGTCAAACTACTGACACATTCGGATGGAGAGTGCATGTAGATTTAGAACCCTAGAACACATGTGTCATTTGAATGCTATATTTAGTTAGAAATAAATACATCAACTGAGATGGATGCATGTGGAAAATGGGCCTCCCCGGCAAAGCTGCTGCTAACTCCAGGCCCAGGCGATGAGAAAGCAAGCCGAGACCGGGGAAAGCCAGGGGAGTGCACAGGAGGGACAGGAGCATGTCTTAACGGCTGCTGCGATAATTTGCCATGAAAGGATGCTAAGGCCGTGGCTCCTTGCTGCAGCATGCCATGCGCTCCTGAATTAAATTACTGCCATGCAGTCTGTTGGCGAAGGAATGTGTAAACAGGCCATATAGCCTTGCATCAGTCCCAGACTCTTGCACAACGCAAAATGCCTCTCGATGTGTCATTTCCTTCTTGGCTACCTTCCCAGCTCCTGACAGTCAGTCAACAACAGGGGGAAAAAAAAAGTACTGAAAGAGATTTAAAACTGCTCTTCTAGAGAGCACATTCCACCAAATCCTACCAGACACCAGAGCCAACCTCCACCAGCACTGCTTCCTTAAGAGACAGGGGGTGGGTAGGGGGAGGGATCTTCCTGGTGTCACCAAAATTTTTAAATAATATTTTATATAGTGGGGGAAGGGGGCAAATGATTGGCATCTATACCAGTCAAGCTGCTGCTTATAGATGCAAGTTTGCAAATATCAAAATGTGGAACTTGCCTGTAATTTCTGTCGCTTGGTTGAGTACCTTGGAAAACAGTGACCAAGCCAGGTAAAAGTCTCCTAGTCAAGGGCTTAGGGGTGAGGAGAGTCTGATGAGTACAAGGCTCGCTGCACAAACATGAAGGCCTGAGTTCAGAGTTCCTAGGCCCTGCATTGAAGGCTGAGCACAGCAATCCATGCCTGTGACACCAGGGATGAGGGGGAAGACACATGAAGATCCTGGGGACTCATCTGCAGGCTCCGTGAGAAACCTGGCCTCAGAAACCACATGACCCTCCGACCTTCACACGACATTCACAAATGTTCATGTGGACCCCACATGCACGTGCTCTATTCAGACACACACACACATACACAGTCATATGTGAGCATGTACACCCACCCACGCGTAGTCACCTATACATATGCATGTGCTTGCGTATGTACACACAGAAACACACAGAAAGTCACACAGACACTCACATGTGTACATGCGTACCCCCCACATGTGTGTCCATGCATATGTGTACAGAGAGAGAGAAAGAGAGAGAGAAAGAAAGAGAGAGGGGGGGAGAGGGAGAGAGAGAGAAGTTAAGGGCTTTTATTGATGTTTCTCAGGAAGAAGTAGACTTCAGGCCACTGGCATCAGGAGGCAACAAGACTTAGGACGTGGCTTTATAGACAGCAAGAATGTGGGGAGAGGAAGCCTTCCCAGAAACAGCACCTAACCTTAAAGTGTTTCTGTGCTTCCTCCATGCAACACGGCTTACCTGTCCCCACCTGCCTTTTTTCACGAGGGAACAGGCTCTAAACACTCATCCACTGTTCCTAAACAAGCAAATGTCACCGCCAGCCATCAGAAAATGCTCAAGGAGGATACAAAGTTATGGTAGAGAAAAAGGGTGAGCCATCCCAGATGTTCTCTGGAATGAGGAAGAGAAAGCCTGAACCCTCCAACCTCTCCAGCCCTTCCCAGGCCTGGGAGACAGAACTCAATAGAACTATGCAGAGATCAGGGAGATGCTGCTTTGACCCTTACCTTCGGTGTAGTAAGGTAAAACTTCTGTCAGCAGACATGTCCCAAGAATATGGATGAAGGGCTGGAGAGATAACTCAGTATCTAAGAGCACTCACTGCTCTTGCAAAGGACCAAGTTAGGGTTTCAAGTACCCGCATTGGGAAGCTCACAATAACCTGTGACTCCAGCCCCAAAAGCTCCAATGTCTTTTTCTAGCCTCAGCAAATGCCCACACCCATGGACTCATGCCCATACACAAATATGCATACACACACAAATAAAATAAATCTTGAAAAAAAAAGAATACAGAAGAAAAAAAGCCTCTTTGGAGAACTGACTTTGTTCATGTCTTTGGGGACCATTGGAAATCTGTAAAACAGGAGAAGGAAATAGTGTGTCTTCGGGACCCAGGTCACCTACAAACCAAAGTACGAGAGCTAACAGTACCCTGTGCTTCCTTAAAGCACAGTGACTTCCCAGACACTAAAGAGTCAAGCAGAGAGAGAAGGCACTGCCTGCCTGTGCCCTGTACCTGTGGGAAAGGGGTTAGGGGTTCTCCAAGGTGTCTCCATTCTGCCAACATGGCCAGGGAAGGTGGTCAGGCAGAGAGAACAAAGTCCTACGGGAAGCACAGACTGGGGTGTTTTTAATCTCTCTTTGAGAGTGGATGGTTCACTTCCTGAAGGGCCAATATACTGGAGTGCTTAGAGGTCCACACACATAAACCACATGCCACGTGTCAGAAGACATGGATGGCACACGCTCTGAGATCTTCGGGCTTGGCTACCTGTGGATGCATATTTCTGCTGCAGGGCACTGTGTTGCCAAGCCAGGCTTCTGACATCATCGTTTTGTTTCTTTTTTTCCTTCTCTCCTATGGATATTAGTGTGGCTCACTTGGGTATTAATATGCTGATTAATACCAGTGCCTCAAGTAATATTCCTTTCACTCACTATACATCTGTGAAATCTGCTCAACTCACAATGAACCTGTGGTTGTCATGTGAAGTCTCTCCCTAGAACTTTAAAGAGCCTCAATTTTAAGAGTCAAGGGACTTTTTTTTTTTTTTTTTTTTGGCGGAGCAGGACACTCAGCAGCAACTAAGCATGCTCGAAAGCCCATCACACTTATGTCACACTTATGGTCTGGGGAACCACGCATCTGCCACTCAACCCATTGACTTTGTATGGTCCCTTCCTCTTCTATCTGTGCTTGACCTGTGTCTTGGTTTATCCAAGACAGTGTAGAAGGGTAGCACCATGCTGGCTCTGAGCCTCTGCCTCAAGACAACCAAGCAGCCTCTCTTCTGCACCTTAGGGAGCTCTGAACCGCCACTCGGGAAGCCAGTGACAGCTTGTGAGGACTTCTAGAGAGATCATGTGGAGATGAAGAGGCCCTGAAACACCATGGGGGAGGGAGACCCCTTTTTCCAGGGTCCCTTGCCAAAGCACTAGACACATGAATGAAACCATTGTAGACTGTCCAGTATTGGTCACCATCTGACTACAGCCATATGTCAGACCCCAAACAGGACCATCAGAAAAAAAACTGTCCAGGTTAATCCTGGCCAGCCCATGGAATAGTGAAAAATATTTATTTAAATTAAAAAAAAAAACTAGTTGTTGTTTTAAGTCATCGCCTGGGGGTCATTTCTGAAGACTCAGCATGATGGTTCAGATGATTCTAACTACTTACCTTCTGCACACTCACTCTTCAGTCAATATCTGTTTCTAGCAGTCCTCCTCACTAACTCAGAACACAGTTAGTTCCCTAACTAGACAACAGCAGGGCTAACTGAGTTTCCACCTCCCTACAGAAATTCTTTACATCGGGCTGGCATTGGAGCCAAGCGCAGAAGCGGACCAGCGGATCCTAATAGGAACTGATGTGTAAAGGAGTTAGAGATCCAACGGCATTACGGTGGCTGCGGCTGCCGCACTGGCTTCTCCTGCTGGCGAACAGACGGCACTTGCTCTTCAAAGCTAAGCTGCCAACAGAAGGTCAAAGCGCCGAGCCTCCGTACAAGACTTACAAATTTGGGATCTTCAGGCATGATGTCATGTCTTAAAATGATAAGCCGGGCCAAGGGGAGAAACGGCATTTTGCAAAGAACGTGCGCCCGTTCTCATGTTTACGCTACTTTAAGATGAAGGTTCTAATAAGTCATGGGCTATGTGGCTTTAAAGGGAAGTTTTATAACTGAGATGAATCACAACTGCGGGAGATCAAAGTTGGAAAACATCAATGATGCCATAGGGTACTTTTTAATCTTGTAATGAGTGATGAGCATGTGCTCTTATGAAGTGAGTCCAACTGCCAACGCCAGATGTGTATATTAAGAAAGGGAGTTGTTTGTGATGCGACAGGCCTGGCTCGGCTGCCAGAGACAGAAAACTCGGAAGGATGAGCCCTTTCAGTTTTGACTGAAAAGCAAGTCTTGGCAGATGTGTTGTTGATAAGTGGGGCCCCAGAGTGGGATTCGGGTACCACACAGCACCCCGCCTGGGAGTTTGTAGCACACAAACATGTTGCCCGTCAGTTCTGCACAGCTCTCCCCAGGCAGTTGTGATATAAATACGTGCTCCAAGCACGATTTATAACACGGATCAGTGTCATTTACTATTGTGTGAAAATTAGTAAAGCTTTATTCCAGGGAGGAATAAAAGCAACACAGCAGAGAGCAGATTACACGGCACCTGTTTCCTGGATGCATACTTAAAAATTTACTGCAAACTCCTCACAGTGGAGAAGACTAATGTCGCAATAGCTGGCATTTAATGAGTACTTTCTACACGACAACTACCACACTACCTAGTTTACACACCGTGTGTTGTTTAAGGTTCTTAACAGCAACTGATGCAGAAGACACATTTGGTGTCCAGAGCAAATAAACACTGGCTTTGGGATTTCAGTCCAAGCAATCTGACAGACTCAACCAGAGAACTCAGAATAGGTAGGTACCCAGTCATCTGGGCCACTGGAAACAATGTTTCAGTATGCACCCAGGTCTTTAAGTGAAGGGCGGGGAATTCCACTGATAAACAGAAACCAAGAACCCGAAGTCTTCTGTCCTTCAAGCCTCTAAAGTAATAGCCAGAAATAAGCTACTCGGATGGCGAATCCCAGGTACTTCAGGAATTATAACTGGAGGGAAGAGAGACTAGATCAGTTGTATTGATTATGTTTTTCTCTGTGGATGGGGAAGCCGTTTACTAAAGCCTTTCTCTGTTCATGGCTGATAAAATAAGCCACTTGAAAATCGAGAACAAGAATGGAAAACTACATGTTATGGGCCACATCCGACCCACCAGTTTTTATAAAGCTTAGGAATTTTTTAAAAAAGGATATCTTTATAATTCTTTATGTGTTACCTGAGTTTATGTGCACCACATGCATTCAGGGGGGCTTACAGAAACCAGAAGGGTTCGGGTCCCCTGAAATTGGAGTTAGGGGCAGCTGTGAGTCACCTAATAGCAGCAAGTACTCTTAATTGATGAGCCATCTCTCTGGCTCTGTAAATAAAGTTTTATTTAAACACAGCTGTGACCACTTGTTTGCGTAATGGCTCAGACTGCTTTTGCAGTAAAAAGGCAAGGTTGGGTCTTTATGACCCATGGCCAAGAGCAAGGCAGAAGAGTAGAATCCAGCAATGTCCAAGTTGTAGGGCTAACCAATCACACACACCAGATACATCCATACATTCAGGGAAGGGACCATACGGTGACAGGGAAATGGCACTACATTTAAAAATAATATTTATTTTATAAGAAGTGCTACAAGGACAGGTAGTCTTCCATGTCTAGGTCTGTGTCTGCTTCCCACCCCTCCCCTCAGGACTATCCAAAGCACAAACTCAGATCACATATACAGTATGTATCCTGTAGTCCCAGCCCCCAGATTCCCCAGAGCCTTCAGGGCACTTGTCTGTCCTCATGAGCCAGTAGATCTATCTGCTAATTCATGCTGCCCAAATACAATCTCTTTGAAATGAGATCCCGCCATCTACACTGGAATCAGAAGTAAGTGTACCAAGCCATGAGCCCACTCTCCGTTTGCACCTCCTTTAGAATGGGTGGGCACCAACCCTTCCTTGCTTCTCTCCCAACCATCAACTCAGAAGCACCGATCTCCACAGTAAACACACATATACTCGGATAGGCACACTCGATAATGGCTTCTCTATACGCTGAAGAAAGCAGCTGGGATGGGCGGGAACCATCGTCTTTCAAAGGCAAATATTAATGGTGATGAATAAATATTAAAAAAGCCATTGTGCCACTTTATGTATTAAGGGGATGGGACTGCCTCTTCAGCAACCCAAGGACTTGTCAGGCCAATGATTGGAAGATGTCTGTCCTCAGAAGGAAATCAACCCAATTTATGGCAATCCAGAAAAGACTAGCAAAACTCAAACCAGACAAGACACCCCTGATGTGCCCTCTTCATCTGTGCTGTGTGACCTCTGATCCTTGAGATTTAAGGTTTGAGGACACACACACACACAGAAAGAGAGAGAGAGAAGAGAGAGAGAGAGAGAGAGAGAGAGACAGAGAGAGAGACAGAGACAGAGACAGAGAGAGACAGAGAGAGAAGGAAAGGGGGAGGGGGAGAAGAAGGGGGAGAGAGGGAGGGGGAGAGAGGGAGGGGAAGAGAGGGAGGGGGAAAGAGAGAGGGGGAGAGAGGGAGGGGGAGAGAGAGAGGGGGAGAGAGGG